ATCTTCTAGTTAATTCTAAATTTACCCGTGACGTATCCAAGTTTGGGGAAAAGATTTTGTTGGAAGTTTTTTACAAAAAGTTTATATATAATTAAATTGTTATTTTATTAATCTACTTATATACTTGGGATACCATTTGGAAAAAATGACTTTTGTTGAAGGGCGTGTGGGTTGTTATTGATGGACAAGTTGGATTTTGTCTTTTCATGTGTTAAATAGCATTGTTCGTCTGCCCAAATATATTAATAAAACAATAATTTAATTAATTTAACTATTTTTGTTTAAGAATTTTAACTATTTGTTTTTTAAAAGATCTCATTGATCACTTTTAACACAGTAAAATTAGGACTTGAAAATTGCCTAACATCAGAGATTGTGGTATTTTAAACCTCACTTTAATTTGTTTGGCAAGTTTGTATTTATCTAGCAAATTACTTATTAACTAATGATTTATTTCATCCTCCTCAAAATCAAAATAAATTCGGATATTTTTTTTAATGATGCTTTAATTCAAATTTATTTCAAATATATATCAATCTCCAGACTATTTTCAAGAATAATGATTGGAAAATAAAATAATTGCATGGCGCCTCGCTGGCACCATGTGTGTTTTTCTTTTAATTATGGCATGTTGTCTCTTCAACAGATGACATATGCCTCAATTGTTTAAAATTACCACTTTGGTACACTGATGGTACGTTTACTTTTTAATCCCGAGATCCTTGATTCAAGTTTCCATTATATCACTTTTTCTTTTCTTTTAATATATTATTGAAATAGGTGCTAATTCTTAAAAAAAAATTACTATTAAAGATATATTGTTTAAAAAATATTTTAGAATAAAAGATAGATTTTACCAAAGTAAATTAAATGAAGTATATTAACATGCAAGCTTACCAAATTTTAAACAATCGCATTTGTAGAGATGACATGTCAGAATGACGCCATGCAACTCCGAAATTGTGAAGTGGCATAGGTCGTCCCTTGAAGACAATCTATAATTTTCCAAGCATTATTTTTGGAAATAGTTTAGAGGTTGATATATATTTGGAATAAGTTTGAATTAAAGCATTATCAAAAGAAAAATCCTAACAAATTCACCAAAAAGCTGTGTTTTTTTTCTTTTTAACAAAATATGCTAAGTTTTTTTTTAACAAGTTAGAAAAGTGTTGTTAATTATGACAAAATTAATTTTTATTCCTCATAAAAAATTGATTTTTATTATCGAATAAACTACCAACACGTGTAAGAAATGTATAATATAGTTGCATAATCCTATCTTGTTTTGATCTCGGGAACATTTGGTTGGTGATTAGAAAACAAGAGACTCAAATCTATAAATGAGGCTAAATCACCATGTGCACCGTCCACCAACCTCCTTGGATGTGTTGAATCCATCCTTTGGTCACTCTTAGAATTACTTATTCATAAGGTAGATGGCGATTATGTGTTTTAACATATTTATTCTCAAGTCCATTTGAACCAATGAACCATCCATATGATAGGTTAAATAATAAACATAATTATATATTCGTTTTACAAATATTAGTAATTATTGATTAAAATAATATTAATTAATTTATTAATATTTTGTTATGGATTTTGTATAATTATTATTTTACAACCTTTATATTATATTTATCAAAGTTTTTGTCCTTTTAAATATATTTCTCTATCTAAAAATTTTAAATCTCAAATGGGAAAACACTAAAAACATAAAAATGTTGTTTTGACAATTTCTACCATTTGATTATAACCGTTTAGAATAACGAAACAGATTATATTTGTCGAGAAGTGCAAAATCGTATGGATACGATCCTCATTGTGCATCTTGATCAATTGGATCGTTTCTTTGTAGATTCCGATACGAAGCTTTTGTAGATGTGTTTCTGGGTATTYCTTTAGCATTTCGTCCAAGAGAAAGAGTTCATCTAATTCTATAACTTTTTTTATAATACTTTTTTCTAGAATATCATTCAAAAAAATTTCGGATTGCCCAGTATTCCACCAATTAGTAACCCAAGATTCTAGGCTTTTATTAAATGAAAGAGAGATCCACCASGGCAAAAATACTATAGATGCAAGATATAGAAGGGGAAAGAATTCTTTCTTTTTTGCCATTTTTTCGTCTTTTATTTTTTAATGAACTCACTTGATTCACGAAAATAATTTTAAAAAACAAGTATGTCAAACTCTGTCAATATATTCACTTAATCTATTTGATTCAATGAATATAAAAATAATAAATAGAATCCAAATTGCCAACTAAGGTTGAAATTGTGGGCCGCCATGTTGCTGCCACTTGATAGGAGGGACAGTCATCTACTTTCCAAATATTATTATTCGAAATAGTTTGGTTTATGGTATATTTTAATAAGAAACAATATTAAAAAAAGTCCTCCAATTAATGAAAAAAATTATTCAAACATCATCATATATTTTTTTCAAGTCCATAGTTTGGTGAAAACGAAAAAAAAATCGAATCGACCAATTGTACGATGTAATCTATACCAATTAAATCGATTCAATCGAGTCGATTACTATTATTATCTTTTTTTATAAATGGAATCTCTTTATTTATAAGTAATATTATCAAAAATAAAATAAAATACAACTAGTACTATAAAGTTTTAGTCTTTGATGTGTTACTAAATATCTAACATATACAGAAATAGTTGAATTGAACCCAACTAAAATATAAATATAATTTCCCACTAATTCTTAAAATATAAATATAATTTAATATTGTTCATCAAAATTTAATATTGAAGAAAAAAAATTAATATTAGATTCCTTGGCTCAAAAAACAAAACGTTTTCCATGTGCTTCAATTTCCAACTCAAGACGTAATAAAACAACTTTGAGAACATTGTTGTTATTTAAAAAAAAAAATATATATATATATAAAATCACTATTTTAGCAGGAGTATTTTTCTTTTTTTATGTAATTTTAATACGAATATCGGTGGATTTTACGTACTGATAGTCTTACCACCGTATTTAGTTGATGCCACACATTAATTTATATTTTAAAATACATTTTAATTTTGACTTTATTTTATATAATTTTATCGATCGAAGAGCTCGACTTCGACCTGGTTAACGATTTCTATTTTGAGTAGTTGATCAGAAGATTTTTTATATAAAATTTTACAAGAGTTTAACTTTAATAACTATCTTTACTCAAAACACTAAATTATAATAATATTTATATATCAGGATGACTCAGCATTTTTTTTTTTCAATTTATGGCTGATGAAGTTAGATTGAAATTTGAGTGTGTCGTCCTAACAATTTCCATAACTTCAGATTTTGATTATTATTATTATTATTATTATTATTATTATTATTATTATTATTATTATTTTGTAATATGTATTTGATTAGTATCCTTTTTCTATGAATATCATTCTCAATGGGCAGGGATTACTAAAATCAAGTTTAAATCTTACTGTTTCAGAAAGAAAGAAAAAAAGTTTAAATCTTATTTTTTTCTAATTTTCTACATTTATTTCATTTTAATTCTATATTTCAATCTCTTAATTTTATTGAAATAACTATTTTAGTCCTTTTCCTTATTGTACGATCAGTTTTCACCCAATCTAATTTTATTTTAATGAACTTATACGATGATTTTAATATATGTCCACGTAAGCATTTTAATATACTTTCAAATTCATGTCATTTATCTAACAAGATGATTAAAACGGTTGTGATTTGAAACTTCAATAATTCAAATAAACTTTTGAAAAATTTAAAGGCGAAAATTGAATAAAACAAAAAATACAAGAGAAATGAAGCTCGCGATCTAAACTTATATAGTTCAACTTTAAGATATTAATAACATGTTTATAAAAAATCGTTGGTTCAAAAAATCCTATCCCATTTACTAAATTAAAAAAATTATAAATGACATTACGTATATATCTATCTATATATATGTGTGTGTTTTTTTTTTTTTTCGCCAACGAATGCCATTACATAATTGATAATATTAAAATATCAACGCAATAAAAAAACGAAGAAGAAAGAAATAGCGCACGCGAAAAACGTGCAATGAAATATATCCGGTGGGCCCCTCTTTTAAGAATGTTAAAATGAAACCTTTTTTCTCTTCTTATTATTATATTTTTTAGAATCATTAAAATAAAACCATTCCGACCGATGGAAAAAAATACATAAATAATATATATATGATCACGTGATAAGCCGGTGACGTGATTTTTATTATTTATTTTTGGTGGATGGGCATTTGCCTAAAAGCTAAATAGTAAATATAACGAAGGTTTAAATATTATTTTGCTTTTTTATATTTTCGATCTTTTAAAATATTTATTTTAATCTTTTACTTTTAAAATATAATTATCTACATAATTTTGTTTTATTTTTTTTATCTAATTTCTATCGATCCTCATTTTAACATGACATTTCACTATTCTTTTTAATGTAGTAAAAAATTTAAATTAATGAACTTGTATGATATGTAAAATTTGTGTTAAAAATTTTATCTAAAGACCAAATCGATCACTTTTTAGAATTGTAGGGACCAAAATAAACGTACATGAACTAGAATAGTATTTAAATCTATAATAAATTATATGTAATATTTTAGATAATTATTTAATTTGACAGTTAATATTTTAAAATTTTCAGTTCTATCGGATTCTAAATTAGAGCCCCTCAATATATCATTGACAAAAAGTTAGAAGGTTCAAATTCCTAGGCTCGTATTATTGATTATACTAAAAAAAATTAAATTATCTCATTTTTGACAAAAATTGTTGACAATCATTACATTATTGTTTCATTAATATATTTAGATTCTTGTAAGAGTCGAGATTCGACCTATCTTTAAATAAAATTTATTTAATTCTAAATTCCATGCCTCCATTTACCTATTATATTAACAAATTTTAATATATTTTCTAAAAATTATAATACTGTAAAAATAAATTTAAAAAGATTTATTTCCAGTTGTTGGAGAGGATTAATCCTTCCCTCTCTCCCGCTCTGCTATAAAAACTTCAAAACCATATCGGAGAGCTTCAGATTCCGGCGCCGGTGACCGATAGCGGAGAAACCAAAGCCGAAGAACAAGAAGAGCTTCACATTGCTTCGGTCACTCCTTCCGTATCCATTTTGTATGATTCTGTAGAGAACGAGAGGCGACGAACAGAGCTCCGGCGAGACGCGATTGTTACAATCAATCGGAACGATGTTGGCGGCGATAGTCGTTGCTGCGATCGCGATCGCATTGAGCAGTCTGGCGGCGAGGATGTACGATCAGATGCATAGGAAACCTAATCGAGTTCGATCGAGGCTGCAGAAGCAGGGGATCAGAGGACCAGAGCCGTCGTTCCTCCTCGGAAACATCGCGGAAATGCGGCGTTCGCAGGCCAAGGACTCGAGATCTCCGCCGGTGCCCGGCCGCGTGTCGCACGAGTGGGCGCACTCGCTGTTCCCGTTCCTCAACGATTGGTCGCGGCGATACGGTGCGTTTTGTTCGATTGATTTTCCGTGTCGATCGATTTTGAATGGAATGTGAATTTCTGAGTACTTAGGGTTGTTGTTTTGGATTTTGCGATTGGTTAGGGTTTGGGGGAATGTTGAGCTTCATGCTGGGGAACATTCTCGTGCTGTTTGTGGAGGATCACGAATTAGTGAAGGAAATCAGCGTTTGCACTTCTCTGGATTTGGGGAAACCGTCGTATCTGCAGAAAGAGAGAGGTCCTCTTCTAGGACAGGGGATTTTGTCGTCCAATGGCCCACTGTGGGTGTACCAGAGGAAAATCATGTCCCCTGAACTCTACATGGACAAAATCAAGGTAGTAATTAATTGGATTAGGAATTGTTTGATTGAATCACAATGACGACACTGCTGATGCATTGCAGGGAATGTACGGGATCATGATAGAATCTGCGAAGGAACTGGTGAGTTGCTGGGAGAAGCAGATCGTTAATGGAGACGAAGGAGAGGTGAGAATCGATCTGGATATGAGAAATTTCTCGGCGGATGTAATCTCGAAAGCCTGCTTTGGAAGCAGCTACACAGATGGGAGACTCATCTTTCAGAAACTCAGAGCTCTTCAGCGAATCATGTCCAGCAAAAGCATGCTCATGGGACTACCAGGCTTGAAGTACGCTCTCTCTCGTTTGAACTTTTTTTTTTTTTACCCAACAAATTCGATACGAGATTTTCTTATTTTTGGAAATATACGTGAATTATGATTTAGCTATAACTATGCTCATTTTGGTGGGTACGAGATTTTTAACGATACCCATTACAGTAAATAATGTTTTATGTTTTGAAAAAATAAGATTTTTGATTTAGGCCTTAAAAACTTATTAGAGGTATAATTTTAAAAGTGCTAGATTTATAATTTAATTGAGGCTTTTAAATATTTTGAGTTTTCGTTTCGGTGGGAATTTGAACCTTTGACTATCACCTTTCGTAAAAATAATAATAAAACAAAAACAAAAACATACACATGGCCACCACCGCACGTACATTTAAATACCCCTGTCGGTTTCTCCATCAATGGGCAAAAAAGTTTGTGCAGAGAATGAAAACGAATAAACTGGAGAATAATTTACGACTTTTGCTATTTTCTCGTACTAACGATACCCATATATTTCCTTTTTTTTAATTTTATTTTTACTACTAATAATTCTTTCTAATAAAAAATTATATTAAATATATATTTTATTACTAAATAAAAAACTATTATTAATCAATATTAATAAATATTTATAAAAATAAAAAAGTAATTGATATGATGTTGCTATAAATTTTTTCCTTTTTAACTGATCCATTATTTAATTTTAGTGTATTATTATTAATCAATATCAATAAATAGTTAAAATACAATTCATTATTATAAAATAGTATAACAATAAAATTTAATAAGATTTCACATTAACGAGGGTTGTTCCATAAAAATTATATTAATCTTTTTTAGTTTATGTATATTATTTATTAGTATTTAATAAAGTGTTATAATAAAAATAATATTTACCATCACTAAAATAATAATAAAATGAATTAAAATTCATTATTGTTTTGATTAAAAATTAATTATTATATATCTAACGACAATTCTAATCCCAGGACCAATCAAAGTAGCAGTTTTCAAAGATGAAAAGTTTCTAATTCGGATCCAAGAAAATTATATTTATTTTCCATTTGGATTCCTAAAGGGGAGCTAAAAATTTGCAGGTACATTCCAGTGAAGAGCAATAGAGAATTGTGGAGGCTGGAGAAGGAGATTCGAAGTCTGATCCTGGGCGTGGCTGAGGAACGGAAGAAAGGGAGGAACAACGCGAGGGATTTGCTTCAGATAATCATAGAGGGTGCGGAAAACAGCGATCTCAGCGCAGAAAACAAGGCCAGGTTCATAGTTGATAACTGCAAGACTGTCTACTTCGCTGGCCATGAAACCACTGCCATGTCCGCCTGCTGGACCTTGCTCCTCCTTGCCTCCAACCCCGAGTGGCAGGCCCGCGTCCGGGAGGAGGTCGTCGAAGTCTGCGGCGGTCGCGTGCCCGACCCCGACATGGTCAACAAGATGAAACTGGTAAATTTCACTCTCTTGATAACTAGATTAGAGAGTATTTTTAGTACTAGATAGTTTTTCTTTTTTTAGAGCAACAAGAGGGAGTTGACCTTCGAACTCATGAGCTCGTGTTAATAATTATTAAGCTAAGTTGATGTTGGTACTAGATTAAATAGTTAGTTTTAAATGTCTTTAAAAAACAGAAATAATTGTTTTTTACTAGCTGTAAGTAGCAACATGTCCCTTAACCACCATTAATTATTTGACAGCCAGTTATTTTCTTAAAAAAAGAAAAAACTTTTGTTTTTGTATTTCTCTATTAGTTGTCACGTATTTAATARTGGTAGGGAGGGAATTGCTACTTACTAGTAAGGAGAGCCAAGTATTTTCCAAATATAGGTTTCTTAACGGTAAAGATCAATATTTGTCCTCGCTACCATTAAATGTTTGATAACTAAGAGAGAAAAATGTAGAAATAAAGACTTTATTAAAAAAAATAATGAATTATCCATCTTTAAATGGGGTAAGGACAAGATTTAAGGACCCAAGTATTTTATAAAAAAAAAAAATGTTTAATGAAAGAAACATGGTAGTTTGTAAGTATATTTGACGTTTATCAACCAATCATATATTTTTGGAAAATGTTTGACTCCTTAACAGTCAGGACCATATCGTGTCCTCGCCACCATTATAAATTTTACAATTCATTAATGTTTATAAAAAGTCTCTGTTTTTGCATTTCTCTCACTTAGTGTCAAATATTTAATGGTGGTCAGGAAAATGTTGCTCCTTACGGTTAATATTTTCCTATATTTTTCTAAGTTAAGGGACCTATTAAACACAATACTAATCATTCAAAACGAAATTTGTAATTTTATAGGAACTACTAATTTAGAACTGATCTGATGTATGAAATCCCATTGGCATGTGTGTTTTTTAGCTGAGAATGGTGATAAACGAGTCCCTGCGCCTCTACCCAACGGTGGTGTTCATGTCAAGAGAAGCCTTAGAAGACATGCACTTTGGCAAGCTTATGGTCCCAAAAGGAGTAAACATATGGGTGCCTGTAATCTCCCTTCATCGGGATACCTCCATCTGGGGCCCCGATGCTGACGAGTTCAACCCCGACCGGTTTGTCAACGGAGTTGCGGGGGCCTGCAAAGTTCCCCAGCTCTACCAGCCCTTTGGCGCCGGGCCTCGCATCTGTGCAGGCTTGAATCTCGCCATTGTAGAGTTGAAGATTGTTCTCGCTATACTTCTGACCAAGTTCTCCTTCTCGGTACCCTCGACGTATCAACACTCGCCCGTGTTCAACCTCGTGATCGAACCGGAGCACGGCATCAACCTCACGATGAAGAAGATATGAATATGATAGGGTTGCCAAGAATGAGATTTAGATAATTAAGGGAAGAAGATCTATGCTATGGTGATGAGGAAATGAGGTATTGGTTTTTCCTATGTTGTCTTTTTACTTGAAATAATGCATTTTATGTTTTTACTAATGAGAAATGAGGATACAACTAATTAATTTTGTTTCGAGGCATTTGTAAAACAAATATATGCATTATTTTCAAAGTAAGAAAAATGTTTAAAAATTTATAAAAATGGCCAATAGGTTAATGCAAAACAAATCAAACACAAAATAAAATTATAATGTAATATAAAACACATCAAATAACGAAAAAAAAAATTTGTCCACGAAAATAAATTTATCAGCATAAGTCTAATATCATGGGCAGAGCTGACATATGCAAATTAAAATCATTTTTGATGATGCATTTAAATTTCATCAGACATCAACTTGTCGATAAAAATAAAACTTTTTAGTGTATATGAAGTGAAAATTTTCTTTAGTGGTTTTTTTTTTCTTTTAATCCGTTTGCTTATTTTAAATAATTAATAAATATAAGGGTGGTTGATTTAAGAACTTTTTACAATTTAAGCTAAAATTTAACATTTTTTTAATTAGACAAACGAATGGAATCAGACTATTTTCAATTTTATACTCTAAAGATTTCCAACGGATTTGAATTCCATCGATTTTTATGATTTTGACTTGCAACTTAGTAAACATGAAACGAAACAAGAGTTGTGTAGGGATAAGATTTAGAATAATATTGTCTATAGGACCAACACTATTAACAAAAGAATTAAAATCTATAGGACTTAGAGGGAATCTTTGAGTATTTTATTCTTCTTTTATATGTATAATTATATACCTATTTTCTTTCATTTTTATTAATTAAAAGTTGAATGCATTTTATTATTTCAATTGAATCAACTAAAAAAAAATTAGAGGATTAAAAGGTTAAAATCAATTGATAATGAAGAAATACTTTTAAGATATATAAAAAGACGTTTATAAGGATATTTTTCCTTTTAAATAATGATAAAAGTATAGATAATCTCATTTTATTCCAAAATCAAGCAAATCTAGAAATGCAAATTTTTACCTTTTTACTAATTACTATTTTAATAAATAGAAAATAAAATTAGAAATGTACGCTAATTTATTTGTTGATTTTTTTTCCTGTACTTAGGTGCTTACTAGTCAATATATCTTCGTACTGATCACCAATAAATATTCTTTTAATTTTCTGGAAAAAAATCTATGTTTTTACATTTCTCTCACATAAAAAATTTAATATAATATAATTAACAAAAGATAAATATTAATTAAAGATTTCAGCTCTCCTCTTTTCCACGAACTCTTGTTGATGATCCGTCTCTAATTTTAATTTACAATAGACCCTCATATAAACTTTCGGGCCCACGTAGAGAAAACGTGTGACTGGATAAGCCACCTTTTTGTCCCCTTTGTTTTTATCATCCACTTTTAAAGATGGATCAAAAAATTTTAGTAATGTTTATTTATTACATAAATTAAATATTGTTTAATCTTTTTAATACAACAACATATTCGATCAATATTCGAATCTACAATAATCTTTTGGTTGAAAAAAATATATGTTTTAACCACTTTATCTATGCTCAAGTTGGAAAAGATGGTTTTTAATTAAACTATATATTTTTTTACTTTACATTAAGCTAGAGAAATAATCGAGTATAGCTAGAAGTGCTACAAATGATATAATGAAAGCCGTATTAGAAGTGATTGACACGATAACTATAGAATTTCTCATTCCGAATATGATATAACTTTGTAGGCTATTTCCAGAATAGAGTTGAGTTGAGTTAAGCAAGGAAGATGTTTGTTTATTTATTCGAACATTTTTCTGCAAATAAGGCATGATAGTAATTTATTCATGAGAATATTATTTTCATATTTGCTTAAAATCTAATACGTATTATGGTTGTAAAATGGATTCGGCTAGGGTGGGTGGATTTTTGGCCAAAACCAATATCGAATAATTGATATTTTGGGTTAAAAAAGTCAAACTAAATACACAGCAAAGTGATCAACAAAATCGATTTTAACCGATTCACTCGATTCATTAGATTAATGTTAGATAACTTTTTTCAATTTTAACTTGTAAAGTTGTTCCTTGTTATAAAAATTTTATTTATATTTTTATTTGCCAAAAATGGACCATATAAGACTGAGAATAGTATATAGATAAATTTTAATATTTTTGGGAAAAAAAGTATTTTTTACCCTTAAAACTTGACAATGATATAATCTATATTGATATAGTCTTAGACTAATAGATATTGCAAAGCTATTTTAGTATTTTCCGTTTTTTATATATGTATATTTTTTAATTTACGTTGAGCTTGTTTTGCAGTATACAAGGAAAGTTTACGAAATTGAAGGTTAAAACTGACTTTTTCTTTCTCTATTTTTATTCACTAAATTAAAACACGCCCTATAAAATATATATATAGAGACAGACAAGTTTTAAATAATCTATAGGGCTAATACTATTTTTTTTTTTATAAAAAAAAAAATCTAGGAGAGAATCTTCATATACTTGTTTTATTATGTGTTTTTTTAATATATGCCTATTCTACCCTCAAATTCACGTTAATATTTTTCTTTTACCCTATATACATATTTTACACAAACTTTTAATAATTAAAAATTACACGGCTTAGCAGTAAAGTGAATTGCATATTAAAAATGTAATATTTAATTATTAAAAATTGTGTAAAATATGTACATAGTGTAAAAAAAATAGTAAAGTGAATTTGAGGTAGAATATGCCTATATTAAAAAAACAGAATAAAACAAGTATATAAAGATTCTTTAATTTTTATTGCAAGAATATGCATTTTATTTATTCAATAGAATAAAAAATGATTAAAATGTTAATTAAATGGGTCAAATTTAACAGATGTTTAATTAGAATAAGTATTTTGCTTAAAAACACTCACCAATCACTCAAAGTACGCAATATTGTTTGATAAAAAATAATGACTTGAATGTGCGAATTTTAAAATAGATTGATAATATTTTACCAATTGGATTATATTTCAGTTGACCATCAAATAAAACTTTTATGTATAAGACTTGCAAAATGACTTTAAAAATAAAATTGTTTAAGAAAATTGCATAATTAAAAATAAATTCTACTAGAATAAGTAAGAAAATTAATGAAATATTAACCGTAGGGTCTATTAATAAATACTATGCAATTTAGGAAGTTTGTTGTAGACTATATATAACAAGCATGTGAATGAACTAAAAAAAAGATTCTGCAAATTTAATAAAACATTAAAAAAAGATTCCTTAATTTTCAACTATTTTATCCTCTAATCTCTAAAATAAAAAAAATAAAAAAACAAAAAAAAACCATGTTATCCTTATCCTCTATTTAAAATAAAAAAAATATATATAAGAAACAAAATCGCATTGTTTAAAAGAAAAAATCACATTATTTTAAATTCTATCAGTTTTTTAATCATATTTTAAATAAGAAAGATTTGAAAATTGATGTGATATATATATAGTATCTCTTTATTCCATGGAAATAATAATAAGTTTGCTAATAAAATCTTTTAACTATAATCTTTACTAACGAAAATTCAAATTTAAATTAGTGGTTAATTTTGAAATCTTGCACAATTTGAATCCATAAACTTCTTTTACTTTAAAACAAGATCCCCAAACAAATGAGTAGGATTTGAAAATCCTTTTATTTACGTAATGAATTCATTCAAAATAAATCATAAGTTAATATAAACCATGCTTAAATATTTTTTAATATTTTCAAAATATATTTAGGTTTAAATATTAATTTAATCGTCTGCCTCAACTTTTGTTCTTGTATTTTTCAAACGCTTTTTTGGTCTTATTCTTAAAAATTTATCATAGATGTTTTTGAAAATATTATAAAATAAAAAATTCGTTTTAAATATGTAAATTACTAAATAAATCATTTAATCTTTGAGTAATATTAATATCACGTCTATATTAATAATATTTTTCATATTTTATTGTGATTTATCTTTAAAATTATCCATGAAATTATCGATATTAGTTAATACCTGAATTATATAAACAAAAAATCACATTTAACTTTGTAAAAGAATCTCTATTCCAACGAAATCAAGATTTTACCCCACCAAATTCGATCCAGAACTTTTTTTTTTTTTTGCTCCTTTTTTTCCCAACAGTTCTACATGATTTTGGAACGATTTTGAAAATGAATATGACCGTTCGATCAGTTGTGATCTACAGTTTCCAGTTCCACTACGAAACTCCATTTCTGATTCCACTTCCAACCTTCATTTCTCTCTCTACAATCGCTTCCCCTTCTAGTTTTTCGAGCCATAATCTAAGCTAAAGCTTTCGTGTTCCGCTTTTCAATCGCCGTCTTCATCTTCAACCTCCGCCAAATCCTTTTCCAGGTAATTTTCTCTCTCTTTTGTTCATTTTCGTTTCGTTTTGTTTTTTTCTCTTCGCCGTCTCTTCGCTCCCCTGCCCTGAATCTTTGTTTCTGGTTTCTTACCTGTTCGATGTTGTTGAAACAAGAAATATTCGACTACCCAGAACTTTTTGATTGTTTTTACTGTGTTACTTGATCAGATTCCTCTTTTTGTTGTACTTGCGGATACATTTTTGTGTACTTTTTTAATTTTCTGTGATTTTCCATTTGCCCTTTTACTTTCGAGATGCTTTCCTCTCTGGTTAGGGTTTTTCCATTGTTTCTCTGACGTTGTGTTTACCTCAAATTGCTGCTTCTGACGTTACGATTATTTTGCCCGCCGTTCAGATTGCTTTAACGAGGATGGATTTTGCACGATGTTCCGATGAATCTAAGGAATCCGAACATCCGTCTAGCAAATGTTGCAGTAAAGTGGAAGCTCAGCCGGAGGTTGTTGAGCTACGGGGTCCAGGTGCCGCCATGGCTGCTCCTCTTGGGCCTGCGACGCCTGATGCTGACCGAGAGAGCGGTGATTTTCCTTCTGATTCGAAGTCCCCACACACCCAGGTTGTGCCCAACAGATCCCTTCAGTTAACTTGTTTAGATTCTTTAGGTGAAAGGAGCGAGGCCCCTTTAGAAGAGGGTCTTGAATCTTCTGATCCCCTCTGCAGCCCCCGTACTCCTAAGGATGGCGTTTTTGACCCCTTTTCCCCTGGCCCTGCTCATTTGGCGTTAGCTCCTCTGTCTAGAAAGTATTTCAGTGGCTCTGTTGGATTCGTTGCCCGCCGCCTTCAGTTTGGTTCTTCTTCTTCCTCTTCTTCAATGCAACTGGAGGAAGAAGCTGAAGAACAGTCCATTTCTGATAGCGAGCTGTTAGAGGCAGTTTATGAAAACCTCTTGGAAGTTATTGTCTCCAATCAGGCTGAGGCCTCTCTTGCTCAGCTCTCGAGCTCTCAAAGTGATTCTTCCAATTGTATCACCCCGCCTGCACAGTATTTGAGTGGGATTGCTCAGACTTGCCCCCCTGCACCCATCAAGCCATTGGGAAAGTTTCGAGACTTCGACTTGGGTTTGTGCAGAAAGCTTGAGTTCTGACTGTGGGGGTGCACTCCTGGTTAGCTGCGGATCATTGCATAGAAGGATGTAGGTAACTTACTTTCGAGACAAATTAATAGCTAATTTGCACATCTGACGTTTCTGTACTAGATTCTATAACTAGCAAAATCTCTGCCGAAGCAGGCTGATTATTGTAAATTTTGGAAGTCCTCTTTTGATGAACAAGTTCTTTGGGTTGGACGTAGTCCTGTGATCTCTCCGGTTCAGTTAAGAATAGGATTGTTAAAAATTAGATTGACCAATAAGCCAGTCCTTTTGTTACCCCGATCAGCAAGTTGTTAATATGATGTCTCTGTTGTTCTTTAGTTGGTATTACTTGATCTTTTAGCCAGGATGCCCTTGTAGAAATGCTTAATGAAGAGTTATTGATTAGTGCTGTGACGATTGTCATTTGGCTTGAGAACTTGTTAGACTCTTACTTATGTTCTGTAAGGATTGTACTGTTTCTCATCGACCTATTACGTTGTGCCATGTTGGTTATGGGGAAAATATATTAAATGATTAAATTCATACTTTGCTAAGAACTTGAGATTGAGCACTTTGCACGTTTGAAGATTATTCAGTTTGTGTACTTATTTGAAACAAATAAGCTTTTATACAAAGTAGTCTAGATTGACGTATTCTTATGGGAATAGAACTAACTTCCAGCTCCTGAAGCATCGAAACGGTTTGCTTCTCACTTGGCTGAGCCCTGGAAAGGTCACTGCAATGTAAACAGATTGTTGACTTTGTAAAGCAGCAAAGATGATTGTCTTTCTGTGGTATTATGACATACTTACGCGTGTTACGTGTAGCCTTTTTTCATGTAAATATGAAGCGATTTAGAATTAACAGTTGCCGTTTTATTTTTATTCATCAATCTTCTGTTTATTTGAGATGTCTCAGCCATCTAGTGTCCAGAAAATGAATGATGGATGGGACTCTCAGGATGATTGTGTAGAAATAGAACTTTTTTTATGCAGATCCTCCAGGAATGGACTAAACCACAGATGTCTTGGGTCTACTTGGCGGTGCATTGAACTGAGAAGTGTTGGTATGTGAAGGTCCGTTCCCTAAAATTTAAATTTAGTTTAACTTGGTTCCTCATTTCAAAAGCGATATATTTGGTTCTTGAAGTTTGAATTTAGTTTTGAATTGGTTCTTGAATTTTGAATTTGGTTTTGAATTGGTCCTTGAGTCGAGTTGAGATATGATGATGTAAACGTTAAGGATGTGTATTCTTAAATGAGTTGACAAAATTGATTTTTCTTTATTCTCTTTTCCCTTGAGTGACATTTTTCTCTCCTCCCCTTTCTCCCTTCCTTCTCCTCCCTTTCTTCCACCCTTCCGACAACACACTGCCCCTTTCGACTAGGGTCTAAATTACGGTGCGAATCATCAAGTTTCTCTGTAGCCAACCAAATTCATTTTTGTTAGTATGGAGTCATTTGAGAGATCTTTTATTGTTTGGTCAACATATTTTAACTGTCACGTCATCGTTTCATCAAGTCAATTAAGAGTTAACTCAACTCATGTACCAATCAAAAACCAAACTCAAATCTCAAGGACCAATTAAAAATTAAATTCAAACTATAGGATCAAACATATCACTAAATTTAAATTTCAAGGGACGGAAAGTATATTCTACCATTATCATTATTAGACCTGATGGCTGCCTCTTCTTAACAGCAACAAGTATGAACTGAACAAGGATGGAGTTAGCGACCAGATTCTCTTACAGGGGCAGAACTTGTCAACTGTCAACAAATGGGTGTAGATAAAGTTTGTGTCTTAAAACATAGTCCCAACTTACTTTTTTACTGCTGTGTTAGTTTTTAGTTGTTAGTTAAATGACTTCAGTTTAACTTTAAAGTTTTAGCTTTATTTAATTAAATATTAAACTTTAAATACAACCCTGTAAGTTGGTCTACTACTTGTTTAGAATATTAAAATTCTACAAATTTCTTTAGAAGATTGTCTTGTCATAGCGGAAGTTTCCTTAAGGCGTGGCTTGGCTTGATTAAAGGGTCGAGTTATACATTAGAAACAAGAAAAAAAAAAAGGTTAATTGCAAATTTCGTCCTTGAAGCCTCTTTAGTTCAAAATAATTTAACAAATACAAGTAATTATTTTGTTATTTACTGTTACTATGGCGTCAATTAATCAATATGAACTATATGACTGTTAAATATTTTTGTTGATGTACGATCAGAATTAAAGTTGTATAAGTTACGGTAAGAATTAAAGTTATATAAGTTGATTGAGATAAATATTGAAGGAACATAATCAAACAAAATTCGACCTATAACTTATTTTTTTACTCGATATTCGTCCTTCTAGACCCACATCTATTCATTCATGTGATTTCAATACTCACATGTAAGTTTAGGAGCTACGGATGATAATCGAAATGATTACTTTCGAAAGTTTGGTGGCAAAGAAAAACATAATAAAGTTAAAATTTTCAAAATAAGATTGAAACTTATATAAATATAAAATTTGTCAAATCTCAAAACTTAGGTCCACACCATAATCAATATCTACATATATTTTTGACTCGATATAAAAAGAATTAAAATATTGAACCTAATCTAAATATTTATTATGAGTTTTTTGTTATAAATTTTTGAGAAATATCCATTGACGTGGTATTATCAATACTTTTGTAAAATTAATACATTTACTATATATAAACATTTCAAACTTTGGTTCAAGTCTCAATTTCTATGAAGTTTTAAATTCAGAGATTGAAACCAGATCGTCACAATCTTCAAACACCTCAAGTTCTTAACACTGTCCCACCGAAATTGATTAACAAGAAAGAACAAAAAAGATATATATAAGAAAAAAATCAGTCACAGAGGAAAAGCACTTCAGAAATAGTAACAAAACATAAGCAATCAATCAGAACAGTGTAAAAAAAAAGCCCTAAAAATCGGCCTAAAATTATGTTTATAAATTAGGAAACAAGAAGAAGAAGAAGAAGAAGAAGAAGAAGAAGGTTAATTAGATCTTAGTATGATAATTACACTGCTGATCTCCAATTTTTCTGCTCGATATGTCGATTGTCAAATCACAGGACGTGGTCGAAACGACGTGAATCTTGAAAATCCCCAATATCTTCACCCTCCCTGAAATTCTCGTGTACGTGTTCAACGGCATCGATCCGGCGACCACGTCGGAGAACACCGCCGCCGACTTACTCAGCAGCCGGTCCGCCATGATCGTGAGCGTGATGTTCATGTCCTTGCTCTGATCCGCGTCGATCCGGCCGGCGGGAATCGGCGCCTCCCCGACCAGCTCGCCTCTGTAGTTGAGCAGCGCGGTGCTGTTCGAGTAGCTGAAACCGACCTTGTTAGGGTTCGTAACGGCGACGGCGGCGATCAGAGTGACGTTGATGTCGACGGCGACTCGGGCTATGTCGAGCGAGACGGCGAGATCCGCTAGGGCGACGGAGTTGATGGCGGTGATCGGGCGCCTGGCCTTGAACACCGTGAAGGCCAGAATGAGGATTAGAATGACGAGGAGGAGGAGCGCACCGAGGGAGGCTCCGATGCAGATGTTGCGGCGTCTCCGGGAGCGGGCGGCGGCGGTGGTGGATTTGAGATCCTTGGTTGCGGAGGAGGCGATTTCCATGGCGGTGATGGATTTGTTCTTGGCTTGTTTAGAGAGAGATTCGAATTTTATGGTCCCATTGGGAATTTGAAGTTGTAAGTTGTAACCCTCAACTAAACAAAATTAATTGGAGTAGGAGGCAGGTAGATGGAGAAAATGCTTTCCCACTCTCTTTAATTTCCTTCTTCTCCATCACTTTTTTTTTCTCTTAAATACTTTTTTTTCTTTTCTTTTTTAGTTTGGATTTTTGTTTATTTTTTTTAATTTATTTTAGTGTCTATACTTTTAAAATGTCTACTTATTGTAATTTAAAAATTAACTACTTTTATGTAAAGTCATAAATATATTCTGCAAAATTTTTAATGTGAAAAATTACAAAAATAGACGATTTTTTAAAAGGAAGCTCAAAGCCATTTGTCGGTCGAATATATCGAGTATAGTACATGGTTATATGATCGCCATTCTCCGTGAACCACAAGTGTAATGTAGCCTTAAAATTGTTATAGAAGAAAATAAGACGAAAGAATCAAAACCATCAATTTTTAGAAGTCATTTTAAAATTACATGGATCGAAAGTTGAAATTAGTATAGCAATCAAAATATATAGACATTCTGAGAGTATAAGATCAAAATGAACCATAATCGAAAGTATAAGGACTAAAATAGTATTTTAACCTTTTACTTTTTCTTTAATTTTAAATTTGGTGTTACACTTTTAAAATTTTCAATTTTAATCAATTTATTTAAGTTTTATTTCAATTTGATTCTCGAGGTTCGGCTAACCTTAACAAATCGTCCCTACATTCGATCAAAGTGATATATTTTCTATTTACGTGGTAACAAGCGGATATTTTTTAGTGATTGTGTTAGCTTATCATGTTCTTTTAAACTAAGTAAACAGTGGATAAAACAAAAATGAGTTTTTTAGTGGATAAAAACTCCTCTGAGATAATTTACGAAGTTTTCTGACTAAATTGAAACTTTTAAAATTATAAAGATTTAATAAATCTAAACTACGAAATTGAAACAACCAAAAATTAGAAACCAACATTTTTATTTAACCTATATAAATAATTTAAGTCTCGTTTTGAATCCTAAGCTTTCAAAATATCTATTTGTATCTTTGAAAAATTAGATTTATTTCATTTTAATCCTTGAAATTTCAAAATGTCTAATTTAACATATAACTATAAAAATAAAAAAAATAATAAAAAATAAAAAATCTTTTTTGGTTTTTGTAGTTATTTTTTAATAGATGAAATAATATAGCTTCAAATATATGTATTAATATGTTGCCAAAGTATCTACCGGAGTCACCTAGGTTGATCAAAGTGCCCGGTATTGAAATAGTGAATATTAATTAGGTGACGTAACAATTTAGTAGGGACTAAAATTTTGTGAGCCAAAGCGAGCATAGCTCAACGGTAATTGACATATATCTCAAATCAAAAGGTTGTAAATTCAATCTCCCACCCCCACATGTTGTACTAAAAAAATGACAAAAATTTCGTGTATGTGTATTCTAAAGTTTAGGGGACTAAAATAGGCATGTGGAAAGTTATAGACCAAAAAAATTTTTCTTTAATAAACACTCCGGAGACTAAAATAAACGTTTTAAAAGTTGGAGAACCGTAGTAGAATAAACTTGAAATTTCAGAAACCAAAATGATCTTTTAATACTACATTGTAAATTTGAGAAGGACATTCAAACTTACAACTCGTGAAAAGAGGTATTGGTAATGATCCGTTGAACTATTATGAAATCGATTATTTATTATAGATATTTATTGCCTTTGGGAAGATTGTGTTCGAAGGAAGTCCAAAACTTTTGTCATAGATTGTTGCTTATAGTTATTAGTCTTCATCACACGATTTGTGCTTTTAAGGGGTGGCCAAGTTGAACCCAAAAGTCAATATTTTTTACAGGTTAGAACATTCAAATATGAAATACGTGTTGGAGAAAATAAACGGATATATTAAATTTATGCTCAATTTGACATCAAATGTTCAATCAAGTATACTGCCAACTATGAACTATAGAAACTCAAACTAAATAGCATAAGAATATCTTTATCCAAAAAAAAAAAAAAAGAAGCATAAAAAATGTGTACTAGATTCGTAAAAGTTCAAGTAGTTGATCAGGTTTGTGTGTCGTACAATGTTCAAGCAAATTTGTCTTCTCATCGAGACTTAGATGGAATAAATTTATGTTTCTCAAGAAGAGGATGAGAGGGAAAATTTTATAGTACTACTGTAGTACCTATATTATTAACTGGCTTTCGTGCTTTGGTGGGTCTCCGAGATCCAATGCAACTCCTCGACAAAGAGCAATGTATCATGCACCGACCGCCATGTAGGTCCCATTTCGTCCACCAAGTGGGACAGAGTGCGACTCCTAAGTTAATTACTTTTTGTTTTTTAAGTACAACCATGAGAATTGAAGATTTAACCTCTCACCTCTACGGAAAACTTAGGATACCGTAACCATTGAGTTAAGATCATATTGACAAATTTAGTAATTACGACAATTACAAAATGATTCAATAGATAGTTGACATGACTTTGAATATGTGTATTTAGAAGTGACATAGTATCAAAGTATATAGCTAAGACAAGTGTTTTTTTTATTTTAATTATAAGACTAAAATAAATATTTTAAAAGTTTCGAGATATTTTTTTTAGTGGGGGCAAAGTAGGTATTTTGAAAGTTAAAAAACAAGTATAGAATCAATTAGCAATTTAAGTATGGGTTAATCAGTTAAGGCTTTTGTAACCTTTTTCTATTGGTGGAAGATATTTATAAAGTTGCATCCTAAAAAATGGATCTAAAATTAGTTTAATAGATCTACGTGGCATTCTTTAGTTGGTCAAGATATTAGAATTGAGACTGTAAGCTCTTGCTCCGACTCCATGGACTCAGAAAGGCCCAACCCAATATCCAATTCAAAGGCCCAACATAAAAAGATTCCAACTTATTGTTTTTAGGTTTTAAAATTTGACTTTGGTTTTTTGAGTCACTCTAATTCTAAAACATTAATTTTAGTTCTCATACTTTATCATTATTTATAAAATTTATAAAATTTTAACACAAATTTTATATACAATCGAAATTTTTTAATACAAATTTATTGTTATATTTCAATAAATTTAGTGAGTAAAGTATCATGCTAAGAATTCTTAAACTACATAGATCAAAACGAATCAAAATCGAAAGTATATGGACAAAAATATATTTAAGCCTTATTTATCATAACTATGTTTCAATAGCTGTCAAAGCGAACATAGATTAGTGGTAATTGGTATATATCTCCAATCAAGACATTATGAGTTTGGTCTCCACCTCCACGTGGTGTACTAGGGAAAAAAATGTTGTAATTTTTTAGCTATTAACATGTATAGCCATCGAGGGCTTGGTTGATAACATTCTTGTTTCTATTTATTTTTTACACTCATGAATTCAAAAATTATAAAACAAATTTTTTTATTTATTTTTGTTGAAATAAATTGGAAATAGGAACAATAAACAATAAACTTGTTTTTACTATTTCTAAAATTTCTTTATAAATTTAAGATGGTTTCTATAAAGAATGAGAAACAAGACCGAAATAGTTTGCGAAAGATTTATATTTCTTAATAAAATTGAAAACAAATGAACATTACCAAGCGAGTCCAAATATGTCGGTTTATTAAAAAATAAATACATTCATTTACATCGAAAGTAGGGACGCATCTATGCCCGAAGGGAAATTAGTAGAATGACCCAGACAAATATTAAACTAAAAAAATGTTGGTACATTAGTAGAATGACCTAGAAAAATACTATAGTTTGCTTCTTATATAAGGTAATTAATAAAAATAAATAAATAAATTTATCATGTAATAACTCAACCCTAATATTATGCAAATATTTAATTACAATCAAAATTCTTATTTAGCAAGAAGTACATTCTTAGTAAGTTAATAGTTTAAATTTCAAACTTTATTTTTTTCATTCTTGCTCTTTTATTTCAATACAATATATGAGATGATTATTCAAACTTACAACCCTTTAGTTAGATATAGGTGTCTTAATCAATTGAACTATGTTCGGTTTGACTTTATTTTCGTTCTTTTATTATACAAACTTTTTTTTTCCAAATATATGATAATATATCTTAATACCCAAATATGTCAAGTGTGAGAATGATGCAGTAGAGATTAAGTCATTTTTAAGATTAAAAATGAAATAGTGATATAAATTGTCACAATAAAGGATATTACAAAATAAATCTTATTATAAAGATTTTTCTTCAATACAATATGTGGGAATAGAAGGTCGAACTCACAGCTTCTAGTTGGAGATATATACCAATTACCGTTTAGCTATACTTATTTGGACCTAGAAAATACTAAAGTATACAAAATATCTGGAAATAGAATATTGAAATATAATTAATGTTTTACTCGATAAATACTGTATTTAATGGATTTGCACTGGTATGGAAAAACGGGAATGGAAAAAAGGGAAATCAGACCTACTAAATATGCAATAAATAATGACGTAAAAAATGCAATTAGTTGTAGTGTTGTTTTTCTTCAAAGTTTTGTTGAATTTGTACATTGTAAATGTTGTATACTTTCTTTTTAGTATAACAAATAAAAGCGGGAGATTCGAACCCATATTTTTAAGGTATAAATTAATGTTAACATATATGACTTATGAGAATGTATATTATAAAATAAAAATTGCAATATTTATTCAAAAAATGTACATACAACATTTATCAAAGTTTAAAGTCCAATCCGATAAAATTAAAATTTTAATGTAAAAATGGATACAGTCTTATCAAATTTAGATGTAAAAATTGATTTATTGATTTATTTATTATCATTTCTTTTCGTTCATCTAATTAACACAAATTTTAAATTTCGTTCATATACTCATTAATAATTTTACATGTCGTCAAATCAAGCATAGCTCAAATGGTTAAGGCACCTATCTCTAATCAGAAGTTCGTGAGTTCGAACCCCCACCCCCACAATGTTGTACTAAAAAAAATTATAATAATTTTACATGTCCAAAAATTAAACATCAACGTGATTAATCAACATTTCTATTATATCATAGAAATACCAACAAAATAAAATAGTATTTTAATATTAAAAATACGTAGTGTGGGACGACACGTGCAGATCACGTGCTTCATCATCTATGCTTTATTATTATTATTAATTTTATATTGAATTTAGGATTTTTAGAAATTTAAATCGTGTTCTTCGTTTTTCCTTTCCCCCCTTTCATCTCTCCGTTAAAAGTTTCGATGTCCTCCCATCTGACTTCACTTGGACTCGACTGAGACTCCAACTCCAACTCCGGCGGCCGTACTCCGCCGCTCACCTTCCGCCGCCGTCCGGACACCGGTTGGGTACCGTCTCCTTCGTCTTCTGCCACTTTCCGGTGAGTTTAGTTTCTGTGGTCTAGGGTTTCCATCCCCCTAGATTTCCCAATTCAAGGGCTTCTATTTGCCTCGATCGCCCCGGGTTTTGGTTTCTTTCTCCAATTGGCTTGATTCCGGGGTGATTTGTTCCAGCAATTGGGGTTTTCTTCGGGGGTTATGTGAAATTCGCTCCTGCTCTATTTTTGAGGACGAGGCGAAGCAGCAGGAGTGTTGTTGGAGATTACATGGAAGGGAGGAGGATTTCGGCGAGTCCTCGGCCTTGTTCTGGTCGGCGTATTCTGGCGAAGAAACGGCCTCGGGTTGATGGATTCGTTAATAGTGTCAAGAAGCTGCAGAGACGGGAGATTTGTTCGAAACGCGATCGTGCTTTTAGTATGAGCAATGCCCAAGAAAGATTTCGCAACATGCGTTTGATGGTCTGTTGTTTTTCCTTCTCTATCTTGTACTTTTTTACTTGTCCTCTCCCTTTGCTGCTTCAGTCTCGTTTGGCTGTTATATGTTGTTCTTTAACATCATGACCGAGTAGATAACCCTAGCCCACATTATAGTTGTTCCTCCTTCCCGGGATTGTGGGAAGATTCTGGCCGACGCCTTTTCTCCCCATGTTCTTTCAGTTTGTTTGGACTAAATGTTGCTTTACCTATGTTCCAACTGCTTATAGGATGTCTTAGATGCGGTCCTCGTGTTATCATTTATGGTTCAATTCAAGAAGTTTGCCTTGTGCGCTTCCCATTCCATCGATGGAACCAACTAGACGACTTCCAACTGTTGTTTCTTGATCTTGATAGTTTTAACACTCAGCCCTAATAAGATGGCTGGAAGAACTATGAGATTTTCTTGAGTTTTTATGTTGATAATGGTTCCTTTGTATTTCTAGAATCTTATATTACATGTGAATTGAATGTTAATTTAGTATTTTCCTGGCCATATTATTTCGTTGCTGTAGAAAGAAAGGTACTCACGGTAAGGGATTGCAGTAGTAAGTACATTTCTGTCTGGCATTTCTCTTGAAAATTTAGGTCACTTTGTTTACTGGTTTTACTTATACATCAACTAAAGTTCAAACTTCTCACTGAATTTGGGTTGTATTATTGTGGGCTAGATTTCTGTGATTAGTGTTATGTGGTGCTTTGTGATGATTCTAGCACAAGGGATGACTTTATGTTAACTATAACTAACAGTCCATTAGTTTTCATGTATCATGCTTTAGTTTGATCATTGAGTACCAGTTATAATTCACTACATTAACAAGATCCTCGATTTAATCAAGTGTTTGATTGTAGAATTGTATAGAAAATATTTAATAGCCGGAAGGACCTGTATTGATTGATCTTATGCCTTTGAGATTTTTATATAACATCGGGCTTATATGACACCTTTCCAAAATTTTCTAAAGAGACATAAATTACATAAATGTTGTTTTCTTTGTAAAATTTATCTGTAATTTCTCTTTTAATTATTTATTTTTATCAGGAGGAATATGATACTCATGATCCAAAGGGGCATTGTTCACCAGTCTTACCTTTTCTGATGAAGAGGACAAAAGTAATAGAAATTGTTGCTGCACGTGATATTGTTTTTGCGCTGGCACATTCGGGTGTTTGTGCAGCTTTTAGTAGAGGTAATTACATTATTTATGCCCTAGTGAGTCTTCTACTCTTCTTAAATGAAAATTCCAGAATGACACTTGTTAGTTATTTTGTGCACAGAGACAAATGAACGGATATGCTTCCTGAACGTCAGCCCTGATGAGGTTATCCGGAGTTTGTTTTACAATAAGAACAATGATTCACTTATCACAGTTTCAGTTTATGCTTCTGATAACTTCAGCTCTTTGAAATGCAGATCCACAAGGATTGAGTGCGTAAAATTCCTTCTTCTGTTTGTATATTTCAGTTTCTTCGACTCAATTCTTATATTTCCTCCTTAAATCTACTAGATACATCCGAAGGGGCAAGCCTGATGCTGGTTTTGCACTTTTTGAGTCTGAATCGTTGAAGTGGCCTGGATTTGTTGAGTTTGATGATGTTAATGGGAAAGTTCTAACCTACTCTGCACAGGATAGGTAACTTAATTGTCACTTCTTTTCTTTTCTATTTCCATTAGTTTTTTATGCATTTAATTCTTGTTTATAACTTGTCTCTTTTCCCACTCTTTTGTCATCAGTATATACAAGGTGTTCGACCTGAAAAACTATACCATGCTTTACTCTATATCAGATAAACATGTTCAGGAAATCAAAATCAGGTAATTCTATCTTCTTTTGTATCACTTGGTGTTGTGTAATGTAACAAAGAAAGTTCAATTAGCTGATTGGTCCTTAGATGACTCTTCATGATTGTTATATGTGAGAACTACAGTAAATTGAAGATAAATTAGAACACGAAGATTATTTTCTAGCTTCAAGGTGAAGTTCTAGATTAATTTCTCTTCTTTTTCTAGAAGACATCCATCACCCATGTTTCCCATCTCGACCCTATGTGTATATGAAGAAAAATCCTATATTTATCGACCTACCTTTGCTGTCTTTTTTCAATTAAAAAAAAAAAAAAACAGTGCATTTCCATGTCTGCAATGGGTCATGCCTTGTGTCCATTCCATGCATGTGCTTTTTCAGGTTGCAACATTCAGTCTTAACATCATTTTGCTTTAAGGGAAGGTCTATCAATAGGATTTTTCTGAGTGGAGCTAGTCTACTTAGATGCTTCAAGCATCAATTGCTCAGTGAGTTCCATGTGAAATATAAAGATAAAGATTAATGCTAGTGAAGGCTCCTAGACTAATACTATTGAAACTTGTAAGATGTACCATGTACCTACCTTTACATTTGACCATTTTTTAGATCTCAGTGTTAGCTTTCTTTTTTCTGCTTAAAGTTGTTTAATGAATCATATTACCAAAATTAGTCTATACGATATTAACCTTGATTTTTTAGTATTGATGTCAGTCTTCCCATTAAGTTATAACATTTGTAAGACCTCCTGCACCATTGTACATAAGTCAAAACAGTTTGACATCCTTAATGTGGATTGTATAAAAGGGATTGCCATCCAGGTTTCCAGCGACTTCATTGTGGGCCGAAAGAGCCATCCCCCGTCACAGTAGGCTAAGTTGGTTCCTATGTATTTGCTAGGGAGAACTTAGTGAGGGCGTTGCACATCATATATTAATTACAGAATAATTTGCAGAATTAGACATCAATAAGTTTTTGGCATGAGATATGGTATCCTACTCTTTTGCAGATTTGTATTTAAACCTGGTGGAGGTACATAATCAGTTGAAGGTGGTTACGATAATTGTTTAAATTTTTCCCATTTGATTATCAAAATGATCGTGGTCCTTTCGGTCGTGTAAGTTATTTGATTGCAGAAGCCTTGGACTATAGAATATTACGCTTTCCATGGAACCCTTGAGTTATCAGTCTGTTGGAAACGAGTCTTCATATGTTTATTTAAGGATGTTGTATTTTCTTCTATTTTTGTAGCCCTGGGATCATGTTACTGATTTTCAATAGAGCCAGTAGCCACGTTCCTCTTAAGATTCTGTCAATTGAAGATGGCACAGTTCTCAAAGCCTTCAACCATCTGCTTCATCGGAACAAGAAAGTGGACTTCATAGAACAATTTAATGAAAAACTTCTCGTGAAGCAAGAAAACGAAAATCTTCAAATACTTGATGTAAGTAAAAATTCTTACCTTACCTCTTGAGCTGATTTGATTTGTGAAGTAATTCTTGAGGATGTTATCATTTTTTACAGGTTCGTAATGCTGAATTGATGGAAGTTAGCAGAACTGAATTTATGACTCCATCAGCATTTATCTTTCTGTATGAAAACCAATTGTTTCTGACATTTAGAAACCGAACTGTGGCTGTCTGGAACTTCCGTGGGGAGCTTGTCACTTCATTTGAGGATCACCTTTTATGGCATCCAGACTGCAATACCAATAACATCTATATCACTAGTGATCAGGATCTCATTATATCCTACTGCAAAGCTGATTCTGATGATCATTGGATGGAAGGAAATGGTAATTCTTAGAGAATAGATCTATGGTTTCCATCATTAATCCACAAATAGCTACTATGTTTATATGAAGAGTTGTAGTTGGCATTAATTTGTTTCCATTGACCAATTCGATATGGTTTTCTGATACTTGTCTGTCATATGGAAGTAAAAATAGGGTAAAGAACCCTTGTTGAGATAATTTTGTTAATTTCCTTGCATGCTCAATGAGAGGATGAATCTGTATTATCTTCTTCGGGGTCAATAATTCTTTAGCAGGATAGCCATAGGATAATGGATTAGAAAAACGCTATAACTAGAGAGATATTTGTTCGGGTTTTCTTTCATGACTGTCTTCGGAAGGTTCTATTATATCTCTATACACATTCGAGACTGGTTTGTCTGAACTGCGACAGGATTGGACTTTGGAGGTTGAATAGTATATTTAGCATTGAAATAGAAGTTGGATGGATATATCATTACTTTTATCATCTCTTGACTGGGTTGGGAGTATGTTTGGGAGCTTATTAGATTTAATACTTCTTTTTGGGAGTCTCTAAGATTTTTTTCAATTATCAATTAGGTGTTATTGTTTTTATTGGAACCCCTTTCTCTAGGGGTGTCCTTTTGTCGGGTTGTTATTTGTATGCTCTTTTGTGTTTTTTTATTTCCCTTTCGATTTCTTATAGAAAAAATCATCTCTTGAGTTGGTGCTATTTGCGATTTGATACAGCTGGTTCAATCAATATCAGCAACATCTTGACTGGCAAGTGTCTGGCCAAGATCAATGCAAGCAACGGAAACCCCAAGGTCGACGACTGCAGCTGTGCTGGCAGTGGCAGCAGCTCGAAAAAACAGTGCAACTCTTCACAGATGAGAAACACAGTAGCAGAGGCTTTGGAAGACATTACTGCACTTTTCTATGATGAAGAGCGAAATGAGATATACACTGGTAACAAGAATGGCCTGGTACATGTGTGGTCAAACTGAAGACCTGATTTTTTATTTGTTTTTTTTTTCCATCTTATGTTGAAAGTTTGGCTAGACATTGATCAAACTCTGATGATTTGATGATGAAGAAAGATGGTTCATATGGTCAGCCCTAATGCAGATTCAATGGTAGAATAATAGGTTGTGACAGTGACAGTAGTTGAGTAGAAGGTTTGCTTGCATTGTAACATTAATAGATCTTAATATGTTATGTATCTTGTTGTAAAAATCTACCTTTGGCTTTACAACCATAGTCAACAATTTAAGATTTTTTGTCGTATTGAAATTTGCTTAGAATCTGATTCTTGTATAACGCCCGACTTCAGTATAGCTCTAATTAATGAGTGGTTAAAGTCAAAAAAAAAAAAGGTATAAATACTATTTTAGTTTCGGATTTTTTGTATTTTAGTTTTGGTTCATTTTTGATCGGTAGTTTGGGTTTTTATTCATTTTAATCTTTGTACTTTTAAAATTTATTTGTCTTTGTATTCTAAGAGTGACAATTTTGATCTTTTATCACAAAATTTATGCACAATAAAATTCTTTAATTCAAATCTATAGTTATATTAAAAAAAATCAGTGATTTCTTTTTAAAATCTTGATTAAGATAAAAGTAAAAGCATTAAAATAGACTTTTGAGATTCATTTACTTTAGTAAAGTAATAATTTAATTCTTAAACTGACAACTATGGATCAATTTAAGATCAGATTGGTTCAATTTTGGGTCGATTTAAGATCAGATTGGTTCAATTTTGGGTCGATTTAGGAATCGAAAAAGAAAGAAAAATTAAACCCTTCTCAACCAACTTTGAAGCAAAATGAACACTCTGAAAATGAAAGTACAGGTATAAAATCGCATTTAAACCAAAATCATTTGTATTATGATATATATCTTTAATGTATAATGGTATGATACCAAAGCTAAATTAGTGGGTTTTGTTTTCCAAACAAAATGGTTATTTGAGGGTGAAGTTACATGTGGGTCCACCATGTCAAAGTGAGAAGACTATGCTAACATTTTTCTTTATCATATTTAAAATTGTTTTTAACTTGTTATTTTCACAATATTGTATATTTATTGTACAATATTTGTTACCTTTTCTTGAAAGATTCTATTAATATATTCTATTACAATATAGATGGACCCAACATGTCCTCAAGTTTTGTCTTCTATTTTTTTTTTTTCAAAAAATAACATTACATCACAAATACTTCTCTCTCAGATCTTTCCCCTAGAAATTAGTCCAACAAAAAAAAAAGAGCTTCAAATTGAACTTCACAAATACAAGTAGAAAATCTTGCATTCACCAAGATGATGACAAGTTTACCAACAGATCATATCACATCAAATTGCCATTCGCTATATTCCCTCACATTCTCTCAGCTGTCTAATACTGAGACTTGTCAATGTTGTCGAAATAAGGGTGGTCTAGTGCTGCTTTCGCTGAGATTCTGTCTGCAGGATTGTATTGAAGCATTTTCTGCATGAGCAAACACACACAGTTCAATATTACAACCAGAAAAAAAAACCTAAGAATAAATAATAGAGCACTGAATTTGCAGACAAAACCAGGAATTATTTATTTGTGCATTGCTTGGGATATCTTAGATGGAGCAAAACCAGAGGCCAAAATAGACGCAATACAAATTTGGCTTGCTCACTATTTCTAGTTCTAGGCATCTTCCTTGTTCTCACTTGCAATTCTATCAGAATCAATGCTCGATTCTAGAATTGTGACTACATAATCATTTTACAGACGAAGTCCTGAATGAAGAATAACTCAACTAAGCAGGTAAGTTGGAAATGAACGAAGATTCTTACTTTAAGGAATGCTCGAACGACTAGAAAGAATAGTGCCCAGATTAGCGTGTGAAATGGTGTTGTATATTATCTCTTATATTTCATTGAACATCAATGAATTTCATGGACAATGCATGCAGGGTAAAAGAAACCATGATACATTCAGTGATGCATCATTGTACAAATTGAAAATAAAAATGATAATATTCCTAGTCCTACATTCCTGATGTTGGAATGAATAGTTATTCTTAACCTTGTTCGTTGCCTAGCATACTTCCTCTCAAACTTGTTCGCGTATGGCCAGTTCCTTATGGTGTTGTCAATCTTCGCCTAGACTCAACTTTATAGAGTACAAAGCACTCAACTCGAGACGTGGATAAACATTAGCTAATAACTGGAACAGAATGAATTTTCTGCGTTGGAGTTTGAATCTCATTGTTTGGTATCAAAACGAGCAAGATTCTGAACTTACATTGCTATCATGCTATGGCCAACCGCCCAAGGTAAGGTTGTTAACAGCAGCTTAACAATGACATCAATAATGGTAACCAGATCTCCCGAACATATGGATGAAATTAGATCTTTTAGGAGTTAACTGTATAAATTTTGGTTGATGAGATTCAATCTCCAGTAAATCCAAAAAGTAGACAGGTTACATCTTCCGGAGAACCAACCAAATGAAGAAACCAATTGGCTGTGGAAGAGGTTCAAGGAGGAATGAAACCTTGAAGCAACATTGGGAGCCTCCACAATAGTTGAGCTTGAACCAAAAAGGTAGAAGCTGGCATGGTGTCCTATCTATTCTGTTCAAAAGATGTCGAGAGAGGAGGGCAGCTTTAACAGCAGGAAAGGTGTATTGTATAACTCTTGGTTCAAAAGCAAACTAACAGAATGAATTACAAGAACCTTTGAATAAATGAAAACAGATTTTCTAGGATTGGACAGGAGGTTGACTATGGAGGACCTCATCAGACAAAAAATCTATGGTTTGCAAGCATCAAATTGCAATCCAACCAAAAAAGGGATACGGAGTAGATACTATGAACGAAGCCAACGACGAGGAGGCTATTCAGTGAACGCTCCCTCCTTATGAACTATCAGCAGCTACTATATAAATTATATCAAAATTGCAGACAAGGTAGTCATTAATTGGGTACATATAGGCGCTTTACAGATCAGATACAATGTATGATCTAGGAGAAATTGAACTTCAGTAGTGGCAAACCCCAATTGGTAAAATTCAAGAAACCAAGAAAAAAAGGTGACCTCCACCTTCTTGTTTATCTCACTGAAGTAGTGTAATAACCTTTGCTCGTAGAAGTTGATAGCAAACTTAATAAGTCCACACCTAATTTTAATAGCTTTAGCTTTCAGGACGTGTACCATTGATACTATTTCTTCTAAGAAGTTACCCAGATGCGGCTGGTTCTTGACACTAACTGTTTTTTCGATTTGAGCAATTTCTACAGAATTTCTCCCAGACCGAACATACAAAAGAAGCTTAAAAATATATGGTAAAAGGAACAAGAAAAATTACCGAGAGAAGGTCAACACCCTCTGGTTCCAGAGATGGAACTGCACGTGTCAGATTCTGAGGTTCCCATTGAGGATAGACATGCCAATCCCGGAGAGAACTAACGCCAGGCCACTGTTTCTCGGTTGGGGTACCAAGCAGCCTATGAGACAAAACCACGAACACGTACACGACTATGAAAACTGTACACTACGACTGAAACAAAGTGAAAGAAAAATACGTGCCTAAAAATGTGAAGCAACTGCTGGAACTCCGAATCTCCCGGGAACAGGGCCTGTCTTCTCACCATTTCGGCTGGCATTTTCCCGAACAATCAATAGAAAACGAATGAGTAATTCGATCGATAAACAACACCAAAAACAGAGTGTAAGGAATTACCGAAGATGCAGCCGACGGACCACATATCGACAGCAGTGGAGTAATGAGTGGATCCAAGGAGGACCTCAGGAGCACGGTACCAGAGAGTAACAATCTCGTGAGTGTAGCTCTTAAGAGGAACCGTAAAAGCGCGGCCAAGGCCAAGATCGGCAATCTTCAAGACGCCCTTGGCCTGATCGAGAAGAAGATTCTGCGGCTTGAGATCGCGATGGAGAACGCCATGGCTATGACAGTGGGCAACGCCCTTACAGAGCTGAAACAGGAAGCTCTGGATAAGGGAGGAGGGAAGAGGGCGAGGATTGGGGCCCTTGCGATGCGAATCGATGAACTTCTTGAGATCGGTGTCAAGATACTCAAATACAAGGTAGAGGAGCGGCTTACCACTCTTGTGGTGGTGGACGTGCTCGACGCAGAGGAGACGAACGACGTAGAGGGACTGAGAGAGCAACTGGAGAAGAGAAACCTCGCGAAGAGCAGTGGGTGGAACGCCTTCTTCGTCCATTTCGAGGCGAGTTTTCTTGAGAGCGACGAGTTGGCCGCTCTCCTTGTCCTTCGCCTTGTACACCTTCCCGTAGGTTCCTTCGCCGACCTTTTCAAGCTTCTCGTACTTGTCCATGGCGGCTGATTCTTCCTTTTCTGCTTCTGCTTTTGATTCTTCGTGCTGTGGAGTGAAGATCGATTGGAAATGGTGAAGTGATTCGATTATCGGATCGTGAAACCGATAATGGACAATGAACGAACGAACGAACCCTAGGATTTCAAATTTTGAAGCCGCTCCCTCTCTCTCTTTTCTGGTGTGTCCTTTTTTTTTTAAATTTATAAAAAAGGGAGGGAAAATTGCAGCTGGTCAGATCCAGGTTCCACGTGGCGTTTCGCAGTGAACTGCCGTTTTTTTTCCTTACTTCAAAATATATTTTTTTAAACAATTTTTTTTTTCAAGAGTGGATTTTTTTCTTTTAAATATAAGTAGGTTGCTTTTAAAAATAATTTTTTTCTTTTTTTTGAAAGAAAATAATATCGAGGCACATGAGGATTTGAACTTTTAATCGTGAAAGTTAACATCCAAACCTCTTGCTACTGTCCAACACTCAAGCTTACCCGTTTTTAAAAAGTTTGGCAAAATGTACAAATACTTCTTAGCCTTTTTGGTAATTTTTAGTTTACTTTGGTTAAACTCCTCAATTTTATTCTTGATTTATTTTTGCACGTAGACAAAGACAAGACACTTGGATATTACTTAACATATGAAATCTCATTTGTCCATTTCTAAAATTTGAGTGGAAAAAGTTTATTCCTCCAAGTGACGTGTCTAAGTGATACGGGTCGTGTGTTTTTAAATGATACATTGATTTTTTATTATAACAAATTTTAACTCAAAAAATGGAGATGACCTAATTGAGAATTTTAACTCAATTTGAGAATCATTTGGTCTATTGAACTTAAAATTTTCTACTGGTCATATGTTTGAGTTTAATTTATGTTTGGTTATTATGGTTCTAGAAGTTGAAATTTAATCTTTATGGTTTGGTTAAACTTCACCAATTATCTGGAAATTGTTTTTTACCCACAAAAAAACTACTTATTTCTTCCAATATTTTACATTACATAAAATGTAGTAAAATATATATAGAAATAGAAAACATCAACTTATTACCACGTAAAATCGAATTATAATTTTCAAAACTATGGAGACTAAATTGAGAAAAAGTAAAAACTACTGGTAACAAAATAAAGTTGAGCTAAACCCACCGAGACCAAATTTAACCATATACACATTTCAAAATTCTAATATTTTATATACAGTATGTTTAAGTTTTTATTTTATTTATTTATTTTCTTTTTATTTCAACCATGAAAATTAGTTCAAAATTCTAATATTTTATATACAGTATGTTTAAGTTTTTATTTTATTATTATTTTTTTTTATTTCAACCATGAAATTTCGAACCTCCAATTTGACAGTCGCCTTAACTAAACATGTTTACATGTTTGGCAAGTTTTAATTTCAACATAAAATATCAGTTTATTTCGATCTAAGTTATTTTTGTAAAAATATTGTTAAAGTATGTTAATGAAAGTAAGTTGTAATATTGAAATATAAAGTATATTGCTCGAGGTCATACGGAGATCCAATTACATGAAATTTCCCGTACTAAAATAAATGTAAAAATATATATATGTTTATAACTCCTTTTTTTTATCTAATTTCAGACAATTTCAAATATACATCATCAGATAATATAATTCATAATGTACGTTGATTTTGTCCAATCACCCAATTTATTTTCATTGGCTTATAATATATATTTCCTATATTTAAAAGAGAGAATAAACTTGGTGAAAATTAGTCAAAAAATATCGGCAAACTAGAAAATTGGAAGGTTTTTCAACCCTCAAAACTTGGCTATTAAATTAAATCTGAAGGAGTCAACAAAATTTCTCAGTTGAATTATACCCTCAATGTTATGGTTGAACATAGGCAGACCATAACAAGGAACATGAATCCAAAGATCAAAACAAGTTTTTATTCAACAACCCGGCATAGTCATTGCCAGTCTTCTCGCTCTGTTAATCGTAAAAACATAATCTTACTCGAATAACCCGATCTTCCATGCCGCTCGCTTAGCTATCAACGACCTCGATTAGGGTCGTCTCGTAGTCGCTCGGAGCTTCGTAACCATGGAGATTGATAACAGTTGCGGCGACGTTGGCCAGTCCTCCATTAGGAACATCCTTGCGGAATCTGACTCCAGGGGCCAGCCCAGGGCCTCCAATTGCAACAGGAACCTACGTTCAAGAAGTCCAGCCAAACATTTTAACACGAAATATATTTGAGACATCTTTATTCTACTTTTTCCTTCCCCCAATCCCTTATTCTACTTTTCCATGCACCCCAATTCCTTTTGAGGATTGGTTCGGAACGTTTTTGAAGAATAGCTTCCTAGTTTTTCAGAACGTAACCCACCCATCTATTTCTTAAGCAACTCCTCTAAAGAGCCCTTTACCTCTTTTCTGATATTCATGAGCATTGGAGACCGCCTATGCATATTTCGACTATTCTCACAAGAAAACCACCATTAAGTTGTAAACAAAACTCACAGGTTGGCCACAATATAGTTTGAATTCATTCCTTTGATCGGGTTCTAAGTAATCTAGCCTTCCTATTAGCTATATGCTTTAATTGGGTTCTATATAAGAAGTCCAGAAAACTTACCGGCTCAAGAGTGTGAGAAGTGAGGATTTGAATGTTGCCACTTTTGTCAAGAAGAGGCTGTCCAGACTTGTTTCTCTTCACCATATCCTCAGCATTTCCGTGATCTGCAGTGACAACGTAAATTCCCCCGACTTTCTCAATTGCATCAAGGATCATCTGCAACCAAAACTCTAGAAAAATGAGCAAATGGGAAAAAGATGTCAAAAATAATTATCGGTACAGGCGCAACTCATGGCTCTTCAACGACCCGGGTATAGACCCGTAAAGCTTTCCCAAGAAAGAAATGCCAGAATCCAAAATCTTAAGTAATAAAATCAATAACTGAAAAATTCCAACACATACTTTTACAGCATCATCAGCAGCCTTGCAAGCTACGACTGTGGCATCGATATCACCGGTATGCCCCACCATGTCGCCGTTCGGCAGGTTAACACGTACCTATTAAAACATGTGAACCGACACAAACAAGTCAGCACAAAATCGAACTAAGATATTCAGATGACAAGTGAAGAGCTTTGATTGCATACCTGATGGAATTTCCGGCTAAGAATAGCATCCCTTGCCTTCTCAGCGATCTCTATAGCCTTCATCTTTGGCTTAACATTAAAGGTGATCCCAGAATCACTAGGAATCTCCACATATTCCTCCATTTCTGAATTGAAATATCCAGACCGGTTTCCATTCCAGAAGAATGTAACATGACCAAATTTGACAGTCTCACTGTATTAGAGAGAAAAAAGATAGTTCACATCAAATTCAGCAAAGATAAAAAACTAATATTTCATACAGCTATAAATGAAAGAACATTTGTGATTCTACAGAGAGAACAGAAATGTGCAGAAGAATGAAGTTAAGTATACACAGATGCAAAAATGCACTATTGTTCACCTGCAAGCAAAGGTTCTAACACCGTTGTGCACAAGATATTCCCCAGATGTTCTATCAATCTCTGGGGGAGAAACAAGGTAACGGCTTGGAAGCTTCAATTCACCATCGTACTGAAGCATTCCAGCATAACGAATCTTAGGGAACCTAACTCGATCAAATTTATCGAAATTTTCGTACTCGAGGGCCTTGGCAATCATAACCATTCGATCTGCTCTAAAATTGAAGGTAACTACAGCATCACCATCCACTATTGGGCCCACAGACTTCCCACTGTCATCAACGATGACAAATGGAGGTAGATATTGATCATTTGCTTTGGTTTCCGCTCTTAATGTCTTGACAGCTTCAGCAGCACTTTTGAACTTGTGTGGTGCTTCACCAAGAACTTGTGCATCCCATCCTCGCTTCACAACTTCCCAGTCATTCTACAATTTTAAGTAACAAAGACAGTCATGCTTCTTTCTTTTTACCCTCTAATCTAAATAGATATATCAATAACCATTCCAAATGTCTAATAACCAACAAGGTAGTGAATCACTTTATACTTCGAATTGCTAGTATAAATGAAAAGACATCCATTTCTCATGCAAGCTATTCATTAAAGCTGCATTTCCAAGTTGAATTAATAGGGGAAGGAATATATAGGTGCATGGCCGTCAAAAATCTCATCCACATTTCATCTATCATTTCTCATTCAATGCAAGTATAACATTCAGATTCTATGAGCTATGATATCAAAGAGCTGCATTTAAAATTTTATGAATCAACTCAACCTCTATTTGAAGGGCGTAATTATTTACCAGTAATGGGAATCAAGAAGCAATAACAATGCATCAAGACATGATTTGGAAGGGGGATTAATCTTGGCCTTTACTAAGTTCCCTCTATATGCCACAGTTTCTACTTAGATAAAGAGGGTTACAATCTATGAACTTACTATAATTTTCCTACTATGTCGTGATGCGGTTATAGATTTGTAACTATAATCGATAATATATTTCAAAATTAATTTTGCCCAAATGTGCAACGTACAGATATACTTATTCTGATTGAAACAAATTATTTGCGTGCTCCATGATTTACCCATATCCTAAATTTTTGATAAATGACGTCATGAATCACGTTACATGCTTCTTTGGAAACAATAATATTGTAACCATTCGAGTAATATTACTCAAGCAAAGATGTACCTCATAACGATCCATTGTGACATACATACGGCCCCCACCAGATGCTACTTGTGCATCAATCCCTTTCTCACGTAACTTGGCAAGGTCACTTTCAAGAGTTTCTACAAAGCCTATGCTTGAACCATCCAAAACATCACGTCCATCAGTGAGAATATGGACACGGATTCTTTTAGCACCATTCTCACTTGCTCCTTTGAGTAACAACTACATAGATCAAAAGGTTTACATATGAATATAAATGTCAGACCATAATAAATTGGAGAAGACATATGGAAGGTAGTAGAAGAACAATATGTAAACTCCATTACTGACCTGTAACTGATCTAGCCTAGAGTGCACTCCACCATCACTCAATAATCCAATAAGATGCAATGTGCCGGTAGCAAAAGATTCCTTGATATATTTGAAACCTTCTCCTTCAAATATTTTTCCAGAGGCAAGAGCAAGGTCAACAAGCTTTGCACTGCATTCAAAACAAATTAGCTCCAAGATCAGTAATGAAAAAACAGTTGATTAGACATGCCATAAAATCAAATTCTTCCTTTGGTCCATTGCTTATATGAGTTTAAATATGCATGATGAAGTTTAAAGAAGGAACTACTTGTCTCCACATATTGCCTAGGGGGAAGCCTTTCTCCCTTACTTTATTTTCGTATATGTTTCTTTCTAAAAGAAAAGTCTCTCTTTCCTACTAAGAGAGACCTTTTTTTGTTCTTGAATAAGGACCTCTCAAGAATGGTTCCTAATAATCACGATATATAAATTATACCATTTCTTTTCAGTTTAGTTACTAGTAAGTAGTAACAGAATTAGAGTATAAAATTATGTTGTTTATAGTTATTCTTTTGTGTGTATATATCTATTAGTGTTTGAATATCTAACCAGAAAAACGATCATACTACATTTGGTTGCAAAATCCTAGATAAGCAGTCACCGTGTAATGAACTTCCCTCCAAGTACATTTATTTTTCACTGGTTTGAATAACCACTAGGCCAACGCCAATCACAGAACTCAGCTTTTATAGTCTAAAAACAAGTTGCCACCTATACTCAATAATTTCTACAAGATTTCTTCTACTGCCCAGAGTAAGACGGAAATCTCTAGTTTCAAACCACATAAACATGGTGAGATGAATATCGATGTAAACAATCAATATTTGCCGCAAAACAATGATAGCTATAATAAGACAAGCTCACCCTTGAGCAAAAATACGTCCGGCACCAAGCGCGTTGTGTCCTACCTCACTGTTGCCCATGTCATCTTCTGTAGGAAGTCCTACAGCCTTACCATGTGCCCTCAGCAACCTCCATTTCTCAGGGGCGCCCTATCCGAATTGGCAGATAATCAATTAATACATTCATGGACAATAAATATTAGAACAACCGATTGAATCTCTGGAGTGCACCATTCACTTTGTTCAGATTTAGAAACCGTAAAATGCCAGAGAAGTTAGTGTTAAAAAAACGTGCATCACGTGGAATCTACAGTGTCACAACTAAAACATCCGATTCAAGAACCACAAAACCTGAGGCGAAATCGTACTTCTCGGTAAATAATTAATCGAGAAATCACCATTTTCTGAAAGAAAACCGAAATGGGTGCCCTAAACATGAATCGATAGGACAAATCCATAAAGCTAAACTACCTTCTTAAGAGAGTCCATGGTGGGAGTTTCCGCTACATGGATGCAGTTGTAGCGATCTGGGTTAGCTTCGCCCCACCCATCCAAAACAATAAGAGCCACTGTCTTATCCTTCGGAAGCTTAGGATGATCGGGCAATTTCCACGAGAATCCAGAACTCCCCATCGATCTCCGATTAAATTACCTCTGAAAAAAGAAAACCCAGATCCCAATTAGCGACAACATTACAGACTGATGAATCAAAGTTAAGATGCTATTCAACCGATCAAAAATTAAATTAAAAAAAAGGGGGGGAATCGAATCCAAGCCACGTACGAAGAAAGTAGAAGAAGCAGCGAATCAAGGCCGAGGGAGAGGAAAAAGCCACAACCCAACTTTTTTTTTTCTCTGAACTAGACCAACCCTAATCGAAACAAACGGTGTATATAAAGGAAAATCTGAAGAACGAAAATGGAAGATGCTTAAAGAAGGAAAAAAAGATGCTTTTTAGAACGCTGCGGGTTTCATGCCGTTGGATTGAGAAATTCTGTGGATTAAATCACAGCCTTACAAGTTTTCGTCGGACTTTGGTTTCAATTTCAAACATCTCTTTCGGACTTAGCGCCTGCTGATGATGCACGCGACACTTTGGTCACAAATCACGAGATGTTTTTTTATATATATATTGTTTTTTCAAAATGATTTTGAAAAAAAAAAGAAAACAAAATGATTTTTCCTTTCATGCAATTTTTTTTAACAGAAAGAGTGAGGAAGATTTGAACTGATTTTCATGTCACTTATCGATAAGTTAATGCTAGCTTGTAAATTAAAAGATTAAGTTTACACTAACAGTTGTTGTTATATTGACATTTTTTCATGATAATTTATGTTTTATTCGATTAACTGTGTTGGTGGATTGTGTGTAGGACGGAGGAAAAATCTAAATAAATAGGTGTACTTTTTTGAGTCAGTAATACGACTCATTAAGTTTAACCAAATTAAAACTAAATTGAAATCAGGCTCTAATTATAGGGATTAAGCCAACCTAAGCTAATTGACACATTAATAAGTCATGAGTTTGAATCCCTCTATCCATTTATTTACTCCAAAAAATAAAATTACAAGAGACTATCTTGAAAATTTTAAAATCACGTGACTAAAACTAGATTAAAATCATAGAGACTAAGGTTATGACATTGCTACAATCACTTCAATTTAAAATAATATCACTTATATAAGTAGTTAGGAAACGACAACACCCTCTGTCCTAAGTTGAAGTTTTTAAAATTATAAATATCAATTTGAAACTATTCCCAACACTATAACACTATAAGAGCCTACGTGTGTAATTTAACTAATTTAGTCCATATAATTTAGTTTCAACTTGACTGGTACGATTTTAGAAAGTTGGACCCAATTATTGATATTTATTATTCTTATTTAAAACCTCTAAAATCATAATGTCTAAGTTGAAATCATTTATATATATTGCATTTGTTTTTACCTCGAGTATAGATAAAATAACATATATATATATTTTAGTACAACATGTAGGATGGGATGGGAGATCGAACTTCCAACATTTTGATTTGAGATATATGTCAATTACCGTTGAATTATGTTCATTTTGGTAGATAAAATAACATGTTAAATCTCTTTGTATGGAAATTAGCAATGTCAATAAGAACTATATAAAATAAAAAAATGAAAAGATCAGTACAAATGAGATCTTTTAGAACCTACGATCCATCTCAATTAATTGGCTAGATTGTAGTTAAATTTGAATGTCACTTTAATTATTGACTAAGTTTTAGATATGATTTGAGAGTCGCACCATTACCTCATGGTCCACGTATTGAAAGATAATAAAATGGTTCATATTGAAATGCTTTATTTTAATCCTTCTTCAATTTAAAAGGAAAAAAAAAACCTATTTTGAGCATCTTCATTTCCTCTCGGGGTTCATGACATTGTTTGAGCCACTCAAGTTTATTTCCTTTGAAAAAAAAGTAATTTTTGATTTCCTGTATTTTTTTTTTAATTTTTAAGGTACTACGTGTCTTTTTCATTTACAAAATATCATGTGGGTTGGTTAAAATAAAATATTCACCTACCCAAAATAGGATTGGTCGAATAAAATGTTGGGAATTTTTGTTGTTAAAGGACAAAAAAAAAAAGAAAAAAATGCTTAAAATGTATAAATACTTGTGTGCAAGTACTTTTCATACCAAACCTTTTGTCGGGGCACCTAATGTACTAAACGATGATGAATCAATATAAGTGACTCACACATGAAAGAATGGTAGATTGGACTTTAGTAAATGTCAAGCAGAACTACGGGAGATGATCACGACCAATTTTCTATGTCAAGTCGACGATATCAACCGAGCTAACCAACTACATATACATCGACCGTCTAAGTTATCGGTTGAATCAATCTATACTTATTTCTACAAGCAAACCTCAAATAGAATTCATGAGAACATGTTGCGATTCTCGAACTATCGGAGGATCGTTTGAGGCTTGTGGGAAGTTCTATTGAAAGCCCCTCCTATAAATAGAGACCTCCTACCTCATTTTTAGGTATGCGAAACTTTATTATCTCTTGAGTCGGATAACTACTATTTTGAGCGTCAAAATGCTTATTCTATTTTGCAGGTACCCTACTTGCATTTATTTCAACTTGTTCGGAGACTTAGTTCGTCCAATGTCACACTTTGCATAGTTGATCAAATTCTTGATCAACAACCTTCAATTTGAAACAAATATATAGTAAAAACTGTCTAATAACATAAAACTTTGATTTTGTTTAATAAAACTCTGATGTTTAGTTATTTACTCTTTAAACATTTTTTCTATGACCACAAGCACTTCCTGCTCCAAATGAAATGCCTGTATTAGTATTACTTTTGGCCCAAGTGCTAATACAAACATAATTTGTTATTAAATTTGTTTTTCTTTCTAAAGTTCTTATAATCAATGAAGTGTGTTAGGTGATAAAAACGACGTGACACGTGGACCAATAAAATTTAACTAGGTCATAAAGCTCGCGTCAGCCATAAGAGGTAGCTTGACCATGAAGCTCACCTCGACCATAAGAGGTAACTCGCGGCCATAAAGCTCATGTTGGGCACGTATATGGTTCGGCCAATAAGGATGAGCTATATCACAAAACCATTCAATTGTCTTTCTGACAACTCATCGTGATTTGCGGGATGGTTGTAACCACTCCTCAACTGCTATCAGAACCTCAACGTTGCCTCAGATTGCAGGGTCGAAGTGTCTTTTGTTTTGCAGGTCCCCTATTCCAATCTTTTTAGTACAACATGTGGGATAGAGGATCGAACTCACTGGTTGAGATATATGTCAATTACTGCTGAGTCATCCTCGCTTTGTCTAAGTTTTAACCTATTAAAAATACTTTATTTTTTAATAATCAAAGATAGCTCGATAAATTATAAAAACAAATAAAAAAAATTAGAATACTTACAAGACTATTTCAATTTATTTATTTATTAAAAAGATTCTCAAATTTTTCTTAAATAGAAAGTACACAAAAATTAATTTAAAGGCGAATATATTAAAAAAATTGTCCTAAATATAGTCACAATATTAAAATGAATAGTCAACCTAATCACGACTCAATAACTTATTTCTTTTAAGATTGAACATTTAATTTTCACTGCTACGTTTGTTTGATTTAATCCGATACAGATTAAAATAACAATACTTGACCTTATTTAAATAAAAATAAAAATAATTGTGTTAGTCAAGATATGCAAACAATTATTTGAAATATGTCACTTCAAATTAAAATAAAAAAAATTGATCTGCATAAAATCTTCCAAATTTGGTGTAGAGTAAAAAAATTAGTTTCTAGAATCTTCCCATATGCGTTCGCATTTTACATTTATGACTTTAAGAGGAATATTGTTGGATTTTCACAATTTCTTTAATTGGATTGAAAATTCGTTTTAATTATATTTTTTAGTCACTACACTCCATTATAATTTATAATTTCTCAATTTCTCAAGAAATTTCAACTAGAAAATATTAGATTCAAATGATAAATAAATTATTAAGATTTATAAAAAAATATATTGAAACAAATTTCACATGGGTTCAAAAAAGATTCCGACTTACATATTAGCCATAATTTTGATTTTTTATATATCGGCCCTAATTTCGACTGAAATCACGACCGTAATTAATATGATACATATTTACTAATGATTAACAAAAATCAAAACTAAAAAAAATCATAACTCAACGATAATTGACATATATTTCAAATTTCGAGGATGTGAGTTGGATCTCCCACCCCCACATAAAAAGATGGGAAGGAATACGGGTAATAAAGTAATATAATTGGCAATGATTTAGTCCATAAACCAATCTAGTCCCTATGGTTTATAATTCGTAACCATTTAGTGAAAAATCTCATCAAAATTACGTGTCGATTTTTACATATAACAATCTAGTTTTTGTAATTTATAAACACATTTGGTTCTTCATAAGTTTATTTACATATACAATAAACTCAACAAAAACTTTTTATAATCTTTAAACTAAAAGGACTAAATTTTCACTTACTAACTTCATCGACCAAATTATTATCAATTTGAAAGTAGAGGATTAGATACTAAATCGTTACAAATTAAAGTTTACGGACTAAATCGTTATTTCATCAAAGTATATAGACCAAAAGTATCGTTTAATCAAAATAAATGAATTGACTAAAATAATCACTTTTTAAAAGCATAAAAACCAACGAAAATTTGAAATTACATAAAGCAAAATAAATCAAATCGGAGTCGAAAGATAAAGATTTAAATGAACATTTTAAAATACAGCAAATAAAATAAACTAAAGCCTAGGGTACATAAACTAAAATTATATTATTTAACACTTTCTTTTGGTTTATTTTTG